GTGGGACACATGAAAACTTCTGACAACAGCTGGGCATGGTGGTGTATGTACCTGTATTAGATGCAGAAATATATATGAGCATGTGGGGTGCAGAAACAAGAGAACTGTGAGAGTTTGGGCCTGGATGAGGTATGGCAGCCCTCACCTCATCCCAGCACTCCGGAGACAGAGGCAGATGGACAACCTAAACAATACAGTGAATTCCAGACAAAAATATATGGTGAGAAAAGAAAGAAAAGATAAAGTCAATATGATTCACTATATTAATAGAATTTTAAAAAAGAAATACACAATATTTCTCAATGGATGCAGAATAAACATTTGGCAAAAACCAGTAACTATTTAACATTGTACCAGAGAATCCATCTACCAAAGTAAAACAAGAAAAAGCAATGCTTAGTAATCTAAATGAAAGGTTAAAAACTACGTTTCTCATAAATGACGTTTGTCTACATAGATCTTAAGCAATATAATAAAACATGCTATGATTAATGGAAGTAATAAATGAGAGGATTCATTTTAAGATTCAAAAATAAATTTAAGAATAAATTGCAGAGGTAGGAGAGGTGGTTCAGTCAGTAAAGTGATTGCCATTAAGACATTAGTATCTGAGTTCAAATCCCAGCACTTCATGAGTACTTTTTTACTCATGAAAAAATAAGGTTCGGGGCTGGAGAGGGCTCAGTAGTTAAGAGCACTTGTTGCTCTTACAGAGGACCGGGGTTTGATTCTCAGCACCGACGGGGTAGTTCACAACTATTCATAATTCCAGTTCCAGGGCATCCGAAGCTCTCTTCTTACTTCCATGGGTACCAGGCACACTCATGGTGCACATACGTACATGCAGGTGAACATTCATACTCACAAAAAATAAAATAAATCTTTATTTTTTTTAAGTCTGGTGTGCTGGCACACATGATTTTAGGGCTGGAAAGGCAGAGACAGGAAGATCCCAGGGCCCAATGGCCAACCACCCTATCATAGACAATGGGTTCCAGGCCAGGTGAGAGACCCTGTCTCTCAGAAATATAAGGTAACTGAGGAATTGACCACTGGCCTCCACATCCATGTCATATATACACACACATGCACACACACACACACACACACACACACGCACGCACGCACGCACGCACACACATACGCATGCACGCACGCACGCACACACATGCACAATTCCTTTTATCTACATAATAGACAAATGAATGTCAGGAAATTCAAATTTACAAGCACCATTTATACTGTATTAAAACATGTAATATTTATGGTTTGGGCATGTACATGTAAAACTATAGATTTGATGAAATTTACTGAAAACCAAATAAATAGAAGTGACCTACTATGTCAGCACAAAAAAGTCTAACATGCTGTTAAAATGTCGATTCTCTCCTTAGTTGGGTTAAACACAATACTGACCAGAGTCTCAGCAAGTTTTTTGTAGTAACTGAAAAACTGATTTTAAAATTCATGAAGTAACTGAGAGTCTAGACTTTCCAAAGTAACTTACCAGTATTGGAGCACTTACACTAACTGATTTCAACATTGACCACCAACCTTTGAGAGAGACAGCCATGGAGCTCAATGGGCTAGAATAGGGGTCTAGAAATACACTCACTCACACACCTGCATAACCCACTGATTCTTCAGTAAAGCTAATTTCTTCATCCATTTTCTGTTGCTAAAATGAAATGCTTGAGGCTGGGTACCTTATGTAAAAGAAGTTAATTAAACTCACCATTTTAGGGCTAGAAGTGTAAGCAGCATGGTTCTGGTGAAGATATCCCATGACAGAGTGGGTGTGGAGAGTTTACACGGGGAGACAGGAAGTGAAACAAAGGGTGAGGACTGGTCTTAATCCTTTATTGCAAACCGCAGCCATGGGAAGTAAGTAGTTTCCATGCAATGAGTGCAATAGCGTTCATCCTCCAGAAGACAAACGCCCTTAGTGACTATCACCTCCTACTAGGTCCCATCTCTTAAAGGTCCCACTAGCCCCAACATTTACACACTGAGGACCAATTGCCTAATACACAAACCTGTTCTGAAGAGAAAGGAGAAACTTTTCAATATAGGTGCTGGAGTGATGGACAGCCATATTTAAAGGTGAACTTAGATCCTATCTTTTATCATTTGCAACTAACTTAAAATTAGTCACAAGTCTATAGCAACTTGCATAAAAACATTTTAATTTGATGAATTTCCTTTGGTTGGTTGGTTTGTTTGTTGAGACAGGATCCTTCTACATCGCTCTGACTGTCCTAGAGCTCACTATGTAGACCAGGCTGGCCTAGAATGCGCAGAGATCTACCTGCCTCCTGCCTCTGCCTCTTAAGTGCTGGCATCAGAAGCATGCACCACCATGCCCAGTGTGATAAATATTCTTAAACAGATTGTAAGACTACAAACTATAGAAGAAAATAATAAACCAGGCCCTTAAAAAAGTAAAAAGTTTTGGCTTTCAAAACAAAATGTTACAAAAACAAAAAGGCAAAACACAAGGTTGGAGAAAGGATTTTCAACACAGATCCAGCATATGACTTGTAGCTAATGTTAAGAATATTTATAGTTCAACAGTAAAAGTATCTTACTGTGTTACTATTGTTGAAACCTGACTGGGATGCTAATATTCTTCTATGGAGTCATCCACAGAGAGTATGAAAAAAGAATCTTTATTCTGTCTTCAGTCAGCAGGACTGAAGATCAACTCTCTACTAAATTTAATGTTCCCAAAATAAAATAGAAACAAAGTTTTCACCCTTATATATCAAGCCATCTTCTTATTTTTGACAATGAATAAATGATGAGATACCAATAACTGCGTAATTACTCAGGTAATACTTATTGGTACCGAGAGCTCTGGTACATCCCTTTTTGAAAGAATGGTGGCATGGGGCACTGGAGGAACTGGCCGTGATGGACTGCTGTGGTGGTTAGGACCTTGTACTCTCAACTGTTCAAAGCGCAATCCCGAAACCTACTTGAAGAGAAGTAGTTGGCCATATTCAAACAGTCCTCTCTAAAATATTCTCCCATAGTTTCACACGTAATTAGTCTTTGGAGATAATTAGATACAGAAACAAACTTCAGGTCTTAATGTTTCTGTCAAATACTTTGGGATATCATTCATTCATTCATTTACTCATTCATTCATTCACTCCTTCAACCAACACAGAATTTATCAAGTACCTATTTTTGTAACTTACATAGTTTGTATTAGTTGTTTCTCTGCTGCTGTGATGAAACACCATGACCAAGGCAATTTAAGGAAGAAAGAACTTATTATGGCTTATGGTTTCAGAGGAAGCAGAGACCACTGTGGTGTGAAAGTGTGGCAGAGAGCAGCGGAACAGGAAGCTGAGAGCTCACATCTTAACCTGAAGCACAAAGGACAGAGAAAACTGAAAGTAGGAGTGAAGCTTTGATCTCTCTAAGTCTGCTGCCAGTGATGTACTTCCTCCAAAGCCTGCCCCCCACAGTGATGTACTTCCCCCAAAGCCTGCCCCCTGTGATGTACTTCCTCCAAAGCCTGCCCCCCACAGTGATGTACTTCCCCCACAGCCCACCCCCATGCCCAGTGATGCACTTCCTTTACCAAGGCTACACCTCCCTTAACCTCTCCGTACCACCAGCTGGGGATCAAGTGCTCAAATGCCTGCACCTGGTCTGAATGTAATTCTGAGGTGCTGCACGCTCAGAGGAAAGGTGAAGAACCCTGGCAAAGGGCGGGGAAGGAACAAAAGGCTCAAAGCCAAAGCAGAGATTTGATGGGCTACACTTATTTCCTTGAGGTCTAGTTTTGTAGAGATATTGGGAAGAGAGCCTTGAACCCCAAACCAAAGCTGGCTGCTGGTAAGAAGTCCCCAGGGGCTTTTAGGAAGGCGGGGATTGGAGGCTCCTGAGACTGCTATGACAGCCCATCAATGGTCACCACAGCCACAGAGCTGGAGCCCGATTCTTACATTTCCTTGAACTACTATGGGAGGATCCTGGAGGCCTTGCTGATTGTGAGTGTGACCACTGACGAGCTGGTCCCTGGGATGTTAGAAGGATGAGTCTAGTGGAAGACAGGAAGTGGAGAGAACTCAAGGATGAGGACCAAGCTCCAGAGTGTCCTTACTGGAAGAGGAGACCTCCAACCAGAAAATCATGAATGCCTGAGGAGGCTAATGGGGAGGGGACGGCAGGAGAAGGAAGATTATTCCTTTAGGGCTTGTGCAGGCAACCAAGTAGAAATGGCCTGGGAATTTTCCAGTTGAAAAAGAAAACCCAACAGAGAAAATCTCATTCACCAAGAAAACTAGCTGTGATGGCTGGAGCCCGAGAAAGGCCGTCTGGGTATCCCTTTTCTCTATGGCTACAGGATTGGTGTGGTTAGAATGCAATTCTTCCTGTAGCTGAATATCTCAAATTCTTTCACAGCTCTTTGAATGGACTTCAAACTTGCTTCTCTATAACTTTTTGCAGTAGATTCTGTCATAAAAATATTTAGACTTTTATCTATTCTGGACAATAAGATAGTACAATCCAAGGAACACATGGGCCTCCCTACTTACAAATGACCAAGCATTTAACTCGGTCTGAAGAACAGTCACAGGTAACACTGAGCTGGCCTTTCTTTGCCGTAGATGTAAATATGTGATGATTTAGCCTTGCAAGGATGTGGGGAAAGAGGGCTCTTAGTTCCCATCTTCTCTTGGTGATGTCACCTAGCACACCTTTTCTGCTATCAGTAAACCAATTTCCACTTCTAAATACTCAAAGTCATAGAGAAGGGTTCAGATGCACATACTCCTCAAGCACATCCATTACCATATGCCCTTTTAAAAAAATGTTCATGACTGAGGGTTGAATCTGTGCCAGGTGAGCACACCACCCCTGAGTTATACCCTCAGTACCCCTCCACTCTTTTAACATGTTATTTGAGGACAGTGTCCCAGGCTGGCTTTGATCTTGCAATTCATCTGCACCCTGCCTCCCAAGAAGCTGAGATGACAGGTCTGTGCCACCAGGCTTGGCTTTATTATGAGATCTCATATTAAAATAAAACGATGTGTGTAAAGTACATGACATTTAAATACATGCATCCATTTTTATTAAAGGAAGAGTTTACACTTGCCGTCGAGGTGGAGGGGAAAAGTTGCAAACACCGTCTCTTTTGCAGACGAGGCTCTTGGGGCACTGACTAAGACGGCTGTGCAGCTGAACCAGCACCTGCGAGGAGAGAAGGCAGGCAGGGGAGAGGAACCTGACTGAGCAACAGTGTAGGCTGGACTGTGAAACCCCACATCTTGAACTGATTCTGTGGAGAACTCTGAAGCTCTAGAATGGAGTGAGAATGGTAATTCTTAGTCCCAGGACAGGAGTGCAGGCTTGGGCCTCCTTACCTCCTTCAGCTAAGAACACCTGCATTTGTGGTGATATATTGTGCACCCCAATAAAGCTTACCTGGTGTAGCTAGAGTTTTTCTCTCCCGGTCCTGCAAAGCCCCAGCAGTCCCGTAGCCCACTTATAAAATAAACATACAGACGCTTTAAATTGCTTGGCCATTAGCTCAGGCCTACCATTGTCTAGCTCTTACTCTTATACTCAGCCCATTTCTGTTAATCTATATGTCGCCACGTGTTCCGTGGCTTTACCTGCTGCCTTTACATGATGTTCCCTGGACAGCAGGCTGGCGTCTCCTCCTCTGTTTGTCCCCGACTTCCACCTCCCAGCCTCTCCTCTCTGTTTGTCCCGCCTATCCCATACTTCCTGCCTGGCTACTGGCCAATGAGCATTTTATTTATTCACAACATACAGGACATCCCACAGCAACCTGGAGATCAGAGGACAGAGCCAGCCACTAAATTAGACATAGAGGTCAGTCAGTGGTGCCACACACCTTTAATCCTATCACTCAGGAGGCAGAGATCCATCTGGATCTCTGTGAGTTCAAGGCCACACTGGGCTACATGAGAGAAACAGAACCAGGCAGTGATGACACATGCCTTTAATCCCAGGAAGTAATATAGTAGGACACGGAAAGGTATATAAGTCATGAGGAAACAGGAACTCGCTCTCTTGAGGCTGAGGATTTTGTAGAAGTAAGCTAGTGGCTGGCTGTTCTGCTTCTCTGATCTTTCAGGTAGGTGTTATTGGAGTACACATTATATCACCACATGCATTCCTGGGGCTGGAAAGATGCTCGGAAGTTAAGAGCACTGGCTGCTCCTCCAGAGCACCCGAGTTCATTTCCCAGCATTCATATGGCAGTTCACAACCTTCTATAACTTCTATAACTCCAGTCTGGTGCCTCTTCTGGCCTCTTCAGATATTGCATGCACATGGTATACAGACAACACTCATATATGTAAAAATAAATCTAACAATTAAAAAAAACCCTGTGTTATGGACAGGAATATTGATGCTGTTGTTTTATTGAATTTTGAGCATTATAAAAATGGTTTGTACTGTGTGTGTTGCTTTCGTTTGATAAAATGCCCCATCAGTCATTCCTGTTGCTTCCTCCCATCTCAGCCGACTATTTACTCATGCTGCTGCAGACGCTGGCTAGTGTGAACAGTGACACAGTGCGTATTCTCATACACACGGACATTTACATGCTGTATATTAAGAAAGGATCATAGACTATGCATATATTCAGCTTTATTAAATACTGAGTCCCATTCTCCTAAAGTAGTTGCACAAATCTATATTCCTGTCATCAGTATAAATAGATTTAATTTTAGTTATTTATAGTTCTGTAAGACAAGCTCTCACTATGTGGCCAGGCTGGCTTGGCACTCACTTTGTAGCCCAGGCTAGCCTGGAATTCACAGCAATTCTTTTTCCTCCGCCTTTTATATGCTGTGGACAGAGGTGCAGGTGCAGGGTACCATGCCTGACTTGTAGGGGGATTTTAGTAAGTTCTCACTATTACTGGATTTTAGCCCCTCTGGATTTTAGAGTGATCTCTATGTAGGTTTGGTGTACTTTCCTGGTAACTAGTGATGCTGGTTGCCTTTTCATGTACTGATTGGTCATTTAAATATTCTCTTTTACAAGGACCTAGAGGCCCCTTTTCACTTGGCCTTCTATACTTCTCTTGTGATTTTATTGTGGAAGGTCTTTGTTGCTTGTACGTGTATCAGTCTGTCCTTAGTCAGATATATCCTGAAAATGTCCCCTCTGTGACTTAAATTCGTATTCCTTTATGCAGGAGAGGGAAGAAAATAAATTAAAAAAAAAAAAAAACTCTACAAATTAACTTCAGTGTTAAGCAGCAGCCAAATCTCCATGGTGGAGTCTCCTTTTTCTCTTTCCCATAGTTTCCAGTTCTTAAAGGAGCATCTGCTGAACATTTTAAAACACAGTGAAAGATGTGAGTTAAGGAAGGTGGTTCATTTAAACACAGTGCAGTGTTTAAACAAAGTAACCAATCGGAAGAAGTTCTCAGAGTCAAGATCGACGCCAGGATCTGTCGTTAAGCTGCATCTGGTGCACAAAATGCTGGTGCCCCCTGGTGGGCAGTGTGAGGTTTACAGCAAATGCTGAAACCATCCGCATCTCAGTTTTCAAATAACTGAAAAGAGCTTTCAGTTGAAGTAAACCTAGGCTCCCCTGCCGGTTGAGTTTTGAGCAGACTAGCAGGTATAAGGTAATTGCAACATCTAGTAAGATCAGAAGTGGGAAATGGACTTCTCAGAGCTAAACAAATGCCTCTGTGGGGGCAGCACAAGGTGATGGGAGGGGTTAGCTCCAAAAGCAGGGACAGGTATCACTGAAGTGCAAATGTAAAACTATTCCCTTCTCTTCCACAGTGCATTTGTTGTTCATCATGGTTTGTTGCTGCTGCTGTTTGTTTTTCTGTTTAACCTCGTTCTGCGTAAAGAACAAGTCATTATTAACCACTCATCTCTATACTGCGTTAACACCAGTTTTCAATGCAGGTGTGAGTGTTTGACTCAGATGTGAAACCATCAAAAATCAGTGGTTTTTACCCCACTTCTTACTATCCACTCCTCTTACCAGTGAGCCATCACCAACAAGGAAAGGAACCGAGGGACCCTGTCTCTCCCTCTCTTTCCAAGCCACCTGGAGAGGGGATGATCAGTGATTAGCTGATTCAGGAAGATAAAACAAACCATACCGGCTGAAGTAAGCTAACTCCTTGTCCATCTTTCCTAGAACGTCATTGCCTTCTTCACGGATCCCAGGTCCCAAGCAAGCTCTGGTTCCCGAGGACTGGCGGTGTCACTGGGTCGTGAATAGACCTGTGGCAAATGCTTGCTTTGCGTCTCCTGGAGTGCTGTGACCATGGATGCTGTGACTCTGTGAACAGAACAGGCAGACGAAGACACACACAGAGATGCTGCACAGCTCTCCTGCTTTGTATGGTTACAGAGAGGAGATCATCCGATTAATTTCCTAAGTTAAGTCAAAGAAAACTTTCTTGTTCACCGTTCAAAGGGCAGGAAAATGATGAGTTAAAAACCCCACTTGGGAGAGGAGTTTACGTGAGCTGCACGGTGACTTCTGGCTCTGTCTAGCATCCAGTGACCAAAGTCTGCTTGCTCTGTGGCAATGCAGGCAATCTCTGGATGTAGGGCAAAGGTCTCTGGCACTACGCAAGGTCACTGGATGGCAGCAATCAGTGATTTGTCAGCTGGCTTCGGAGAGTGGCTTGCAGGCCTTGGGGCTTCTTATACAACTCAAGCTCTCCAGCAGATTTGAGTGTGGTTGGGAGTCCAGACCACTAACTCATGTCTCTGGTTTGATGAGGTGCAATGTCACACGCTCACCAGGGGAGGACTGTGCCCTGTGTTTTCACCATACCAGAGTGTGTCACCACAAGGCATTTGGAATCATCTGCAAACTACCTAACCCTCCCTCATGCCTGTGGCCTCGTCAATCTAACATAAAGGTGTCTGAAGGTAAACTTTCTGAGGACTTCAACATGGCAACCACAGAGCAGTAAGCAAGCTTTGTGGACTGAGTGAGGAACCTCGTGAAACCTGCATGGGTCCCAGAGACAGGCCAGGAGAGGCTGGCGTCTTGTTAAAAATTGAAACAAGAAAAAGGAAAGGGGCAAAGTTCTTGATGATGCAAACTCAGATAACTCCTAGCTCATTTAGGATGGAGCATTGCAAATGTGGTCTACAAAAAGAAAAGCAGCCTGGGCTACCAAGTGAGTTCCAGGAAAGGCGCAAAGCTACACAGAGAAACCCTGTCTCGAAAAACCAAAAAAGAAAAAAAAAAAAAAAGAAAAAGAAAAGCATCATTTGGAATTACAGGGCTTTTAGTGTAACCAGAATTCTGGCCAGCTTGAGTATGAGGAGGAGAAACAAGCAAACAAAATCTTTAGAGTGTGGTGGCACACAGCCACGCCACCAGCATGTTATCTCATGTTTTAAAATGTTTTAAAACTAAATTTGAAAGTAGGCTAACAAACCCTGCACTCTAAAGAAAAAACAAAAAGATCCTGATGAGCGTGTGAGTGCATGTGCATATATGTGCCCACCTGTGTGTATGTGTGTGTGTGTGTGTGTGTGTGTGTGTGTGTGTGTGTGTGTTTCTGTGGCAAAACTATGAACATCTTGGTTCATCTACCTTAGGACCAAGCGATTGCTTGATTTTTAATTAGCTGCCTTTAGTAACTAACCCAAATGGAACTGTAAGACCTAGGCTGCCTGAGCCAACGGTTCTGAAGGACTGTTTCCTAGCAGCCCTAGGCTTTCTGTGGGGAGGGACCACACCACCATTTTATCATCATCCATGGGGTGTATCTGCCTTGGCTAACCCCATACAGAAGAGCCAGCCCTACTCACCCAACTCTGGGGCTGGGGCTGATCCTGAACTGTGCACAAAAGCCTGCAGTCATTGTTATTTGACTATATCTTGAGTGTGCAAAGCCAGGGTGGTGTCACACATTACTCACACTCACAACCAAAGGGATGATGTTTTAAAAATAAAAAAGAAAGAAACGAACACACACAAAAAAGAGAGAGGGACAGAGAGAAAGGGAAAGCTCCTTCACCAGACTTTATCAAAGCTGTTTGCTGCATGTCAGTCTTTAAGTCCACCTAGGAAAACACCTGTGGCTTAGGTTACCTTTATGGGCATGTTTTCTTACCCTATCAAGCCAGACTCAAGTGGTACTATTAACTATGGATGGGGACCATTACCATTTCTCCCTCCCTCCCTCCCTCCCTCCCTCCCTCCCTTCCTTCCTTCCTTCCCTCCTTTCTCTTTCTTTTTTTTCTTTCTTTCTTATATTGAGAACTCATAGAAAATATATGTAGACAAAATTGGGGACAAGAAAAAAATGTCGGGGGGTTGGGGATTTAGCTCAGTGGTAGAGTGCTTGCCTACCAAGTGCAAGGTCCTGGGTTCGGTCCTCAGCTCTGAAAAAATAAATAAATAAATAAATAAATAAATAAATAACTAAATAAATAAATACATACATACATACATACATAAAATTAAATTTAAAAAAAAAGAAGAAAAAATGTCGGAAATGTTTGTTGGAGACAACAGCAAATGTATATGTCTGGAGTTTATGTCCTTCTTGCCATACAGTGCTTTGGGGGAGGCCGTGGGGTGGGAGGGGCTCCGTTTAAGGATGGTTATAGTAACTTCCTCTGGCCTGTGGGTACAGGATGCAGACTCAGACCAGCTGCAGTGAGTGGGTCCAAGCAGCCATTAAATGGAATGACTCAGCAAGGTCCCTTGATCAGAGGCTGATGGCAGCCTGTCTGCCTTCTGAGCAGAGGATGCACACCTCAGAAGTCCAGCTTGACAGGAGTCCTCCGAGAAAATCCCCGGGGCCAAGAATCAGAGATGTCTTGGAGTCGCAGGAGGGCCGCCCCGAGCTTGCATTTGTCTGTCTCCTTTTGTTCTTGCTGGAGGAAGTTCCGTCTGTCTACTGTCTCGATGGATGCGTGTGTTTGTAGCACTTTTAATACTTTGGAGGACAAAGTGGACACAGTCCTGTAAGTTAGTGACCGGTTATGGCTGTGAGGGCCGTGAGACCTCCATGGGAAGAACACAGATGTTTGATGGGGTGTCAGGCTGGGGCCAAAGTGGGCAGCTCAGGTTCCCCGGGAGACAGAGCAGTAGCCACCCTCCTATATCTGTTTCCAGTCTTACAGATGGCAAGATTCTTGGGTTTTGGCTGCCCGGAAATGAGACTTGTCTTAGCGTTGACTGCGGTCACGTGACTCGGTTACAGCCAATGAAAAACCACCCCGCTTTGTCTTTCCCTTTATCTGGCTGTGGGAAAAGCAGACCCAGCGGGCACTGTCTGTGAGAAAAGGGACCTTGGTGTGGGCGTGGGGGATGAGCGAAGCGTGAGTCCCTGGGGACGTTAGGGCAGGGCCACCTTTCTGCTCTGTGAGAAATTGTTTGGGCATTTCTGCCGCTTGCAATTACAGCTGATGCATCCTGGTAGAAAGTGTTACTTAGGCTTCAGGCTGGAAGTCCTCCGGACAGGGGCCCACTGCGTGGTCTCAGGCGCAGTGATGAGTTTCTCCTCCCACCCTCCTAGCACTTCAGAGACCTGTGGAAGCCCTCACAGTGCTGAAAGCGCTTTCCAGAATTCTCTTCCACTCGCATTTACAGATCGATCTCTCACAGACCGGGTGTGGTGTGTGTGCGAGCACAAGCTGTAACCACGGAGTCTGAAGTCAGCGCAAAAGACGGACAATACGCAGATATACCAAAAATCTGGACCAGGGGACTAAGGAAGTGGCTCAGTTAGGAAGGTTCTTGTGCAAGAATGAGGACCTGCGTTCCCATCCCCCTAACCCACATAAAAAGGCTGGCGTGGCTGTCCGCATCTGAGATCCCAGTGCTGGAGACAGAGATCGGCGCTCAGAGAGACATCCTGGAGGCTTGCAGGCCAGCCAGTCTATCTGAACGAGTGGACGCCAGTTTCAGTGAGAAACCTGTTTCCAAAATGAGAGAAGTGACTGGGAAATTAACCCAGTGCTGATGTCAACATACCCAAGCGTGTACCACACACACACACTCACACACACATGCACATACACACACACACACACACACACACACTCACACACTCGACTAAGGGAAGAAAGACAGGTCTAAAGGTGTGGGGTAGAGGTTCGGAGAACAAGAGGAAAAATGGGGGACAAAAGACAAACTTAACATTTTTTCTCTCATGTGGAATCTAAATTTAACTATGTGTATAGAGTAGATTAATTTGTGGTGGTGAACATATATATTATTATATATTCCTACAAATGTGCGTGGGCTACCAAAGTAGCTTCACTAGTCTTTTTTTGATAGGCAATGCTTACCAGATACCAGAGAACGCGTTTGGTCCCTTTTCATTGTTTAACACTACACACACATATATGGTCACAATTTTAGACAAAGCGTTCATGAAGAACATTAACTTATCAAGTGAATTACATTCAGGAACTTCTCATTCTTTTGGGTTTGATGATGATGATGATGATGGCGATGATGGTGATTGGTTTTTCAAGACAGAGTTTCTCTGTGTAGTTTTGGTGCCTGTTCTAGATCTTGCTCTGTAGACCAGGCTGGCCTTGAACTCACAGAGATCCGCCTGGCTCTGCCTCCCGAGTGCTGGAATTAAAGGTGTGCGCCACCACTGCCTGGTTTGGGTTTGATTCTTAAACACTCTTCTGCAAGGTGAACCTGTGCTCTGCTCAAGGACTTGATTATCTAAGAGATGTATGTTGAATGGGTACAATTATAGATATTGGATACATTTAAGTGTTTTCACACACACACACACACACACACACACACACACACACACACACACACACAAAGGAAAGCAGGGGTGACGTGGGAGGGAGAAAAGAAGAGCCAGAGCAATGGAGGAGAGCAAAATACAGTGATCACGGGGACAATGTCAGGACGGGACACATTATTTTGTATGATTACTAAAAAATAATAGTAAACCTGGGTGTGGTGGCAGAGGCCTTTAATCCCAGAACTCAGGAGACTGAGGTAGGCAGGTCTCTGCAAGGTGAAGTCCAGACTGGTGTACAGAGTGAGTTCCAGGCTAGTCTCTCTCTCTCTCTCTCTCTCTCTCTCTCTCTCTCTCTCTCTCTCTCTCTCTCTCTCACACACACACACACACACACACACACACACACCACACAACACCTGAAATGCCGGTGATCACCAGGCTCCTACTGATGGATGTGATCTATTCGTTACTAGTTGGACTGAGAGATAAAGGTGGTGATAAGTGGAAGCTGGTGACTGGGAAAGAGAATGGCAAGAGAAAGAACTGGGTAGAAGGTGTATTAATAAGTGAATATTGCTGGAGAGTGCTGCCACATGCCTTTAATCCCAGCACTCAGGAGGCAGAGGCAGGCAGATCTCTGTGAGTTCAAGGCCAGCCTGGTCTACAAAGCGAGTTCTAAAACAGCCAGAGCTGTAACACAGAGAAACCCTGTCTCCAAAAGCTAAAAACAAAAAAGTAAATACTGACCTCTCACCAACTTACAGAACTGGAAGTTGCGTGTCCCCTTTGGGGCCATCGCTGGACTGCAACCACCAAAATGAAGTTCAATCCTTCTCTTTGTGACTTCTAACCGAAGCAAGAACCGCAAACCACATTTCAGCACACCTTCTCACATTCAGAAGATCATGCCTTCCCCTCCATAGCGGAGACAGAAGTATAATGCTCAATCTATGATCATGTGAAAGGATGATGACGTTCAGGTTATCGGCGGACACTGCCAAGGCCGCAGATTGGCTGAGTGGTCCAAGTGTACAGCAGGAAGTACGTCATCTACGTTGAACAAGTGCAGTGAGAAAAGGCTAACGGCATAACTGTCCATGCAGGCATCCACCCCAGCAAGGTGGCTATCACCAGGCGAATGCTGGACAGAGACCACAAAAAGATCCCGGAAAGGGAAGCCAAGTCTCCACACGTAGGAAAGAAGAAACAACGGAGCAGATGCAGGTGGGGAGGCATCATACACAACTTTCATTAAAGACTGCTTCAGTTAAAAAAAATGAACATTGAAAAGTTAATTAATTTGTTAAACAGAAGTTTAGCCAGGCTTTTAAAACAAGAGCAGAGATGTACCACAGTGGCTAGGGTTATGCAATTTTTGCCTGTGATTTTAAATAACATATGTAAATGTTACCAGCTTTTGGAATTTAGTGCACAATGTGTTAGCTGCTGAAGTTGAGTGTTGTGACTTGACCTGTAATTCTGGCACTTGGAAGATGAAAGCAGAAATCTCATGGTTCAAGCCTGCCTGGGCCATGTGAAGCCTTATCTAAATAAAAGTTAGCTGTTAATATTATATGACACAATAAAATAATTATGACTATTAATTATTTGTCTAGAACTACTGCCCAAATAAGCCTCATTCCCTGATTTTTCAGCTGGGTACCTTAAACATGAACTAAAAGTACAAATGCCTGTATTTTTTTTTAAAAATTTATGTGTGTGGGTATTGCCTAAAAGAATGTTTGTGCATCATGTCAGAAAATGATCTGACAGCAGATCTCCTGGAACTAAAGTTACAGATGGTTTTGAGCTGCTGTGTGGTTGTTAGGAATTGAACCCAGATCCTCTGGAAGAGCAACCTGTGCTCTTAACCACTGAACTATGTCTCTAGCCCCCAATTTTATTGCATCAGAAGCACACACATGTGCATATATGTGTGTGCACACATTGTGTGTAGGCGTTTTCTGACTGATGGCACTGATCTTCTTAGTGGATGAAGAGACTGGGATTCAAAGAAGTTGTATATAGCTTGGTATCTGTCTTAGTTGGGGTTTCTATTGCTGTGAAGAGACACCATGACCAAAGAAACTCTTATAAAGGAAAAACATTTCACTGGAGTAACTTACATTTTCGGAGGTTCAGTCCATTATCATCATGGGATGTCATGGTGGTGTGCAGGCAGACATGGCGCTGGAGACAGAGCTAAGAGTCCTACATGTTGAATTGCGGGCAGCAGGAAGTGGTCTCTAACACTGGGCGGTATCTTGAGCAAAGGAGACCTCAAAGTCTGCCTTCACAGTGACACACTTCCTCCAACAAAGCCACACTTCCAATAGTGCCACTCCCTTTGGGAGCCATTTTCTTTCAAACCACCACAGTACCTAAGAAGATCACCTTCTGTGGTGGTGAATGCTGTGATTAGTGCTGCTCACTATTTCTCTGGTACCATGGTACACGGAGGAATAGAGTTTGTCAAGTTTTATTTGGTGTTCACGTTGGCTTATTGAATCACAATAGCAAAGAGTCATACCATAGATGTTTCTATGAGATTTTAAATCAATTAGTGACTATGTAATTGGGTATCATTGCATGGTTAAGAGGAATAAATTGGTGGCTGTATCGTGGGAAATATGATAAACAAAACAGCAGTGCTCTGTTGTTCCTGAGTGCTAATTGTGTTTATTAGTAATGAAGTATTTCCGTTTCAGCAGTCAGCATTCCAGACAAGACAACCTTGTTTTAAAATGGAAAACTATTATTTCGTTACAGAAACTGAGGTATGGAGATGACTAACAACGGACAAACAATGCTGAGAGGAAGCAACTGATTGGCTGAGTACTGCCAGGTTGCTAGGAGACAGCTAGAGGAAGCAGCTGATTGGCTGAGTATCGCCAGGTTGCTAGGAGACAGCCTCTTCCATGCTTGTTTCCTTCCTCACTTGTTCTGGGATCTTCTTCGCAGTCTATGGCTTTGCACTCGGTTAGCTTAACCCTGATGTCAGGAAGGATGTTTGCAGATGTTCAGAGGCATCCAAAGTAGCTCACTGAGTTCTTTTTTTTTTTTTTTTTTTTTTTTTTTTTGGAGAATACTTACTTGTTGGGAGCAAATTAAGTCCTGAGTGAATGTATTTTGTTGACTTGGGCACAGCCACGGTAAGGACCCCAATGCTTCAGCCCCATCAGAATGGCAAAGCCTTCTTTGGGTCCAGGTGAGAATGTTGATAGTGTGGGCAGAAAATGTCCCTGATAGCTTTCTTACCCCACCATGTTTACATCCTGAAGATTGCTCCCCTACAGAGTCTGCTCCTACTGAGATTAACTCAGCCTGTTTCCTTGTTTGGTTTTATATAATAAGCCTGCCTCCATATGTATCTATATGTGATAACACCACTTCTCTGTTCAGCTGCATGTAATAAACACATTCAGCTGGAGGAGCAGAGTGGTCTGTGGTTTCTCCATTCAAGAGCTCAGCCCACCTTATCCTACCCCTCTCACTCTCCCCAGCCCCCCCCCACACACCTCTCTGTGTATACCTTTTTTTCATTCCTGCATTGCCTGTAGTCAGGGTTCAGGAACCCAAACTGTGCAAGGATGAGGCACTTACTCATTCAAGGAAGGCACTTACTCATCACATTTTAATTCATTGCACACTCAACACATGGCTGGGCTTTATTTAACCAAACCAAAGAGTTTATGAAACAGCATTCACCTTTACCAAGTGCAATGCACGTGTCTCATTGTTAGATTCAATGCTTAAATGCTTCTGTGATCAAGGATTACATAATTCTACATGTCTTCAACTGTTATTGGTTTCTACATTCCTGCACATTAAAACCATCACCCACTGTTTGTGAATTCATCGTTCGTAACAGCTTTACTTATAACCACCAAAGACAGCCATGAAAGGAACAATGAGAAGATGAACAAGAATGGCAGAACACGTGCGTGCCATGGGATAACACTCAGTCTTAACAAGGGAGGAAATGCTGACACACGCTGTAACATGGATGGAATCCGAAGTTAATATGCTGAGCGATGTTAGCGACTCACAAAATACACACAAAGGTTTGCTCCATTTAACTGAGGTAATCTGAGGTAGCCCCATTCATAGAGACAGGGAATGGAATGGGAGAGGACAGATAGTTATGGTGGAGTTTAAGCGACATCCCTGAATAATCCCCTGGGCAACTACGAGCAGCTATTGCAACAGAAGAATGCTCTTCTGCCATAGTCCATCATTTACTTTTTGCATAACCTGTGTGAGGAACCTTATAAAATCCCCTCGAAGTCTCATGAGCTTCTCTGCTCCTCACATGAGGAAGTATCAACAGGCCAGATAGTTTATGGGACTTGTGTGTGATCACAGCTCATGTCTAACCTGGAGGGAACAACTTCACAAACAATGGGAATGTAGGAAGAACGAATGGAGCTCAGAGTTTAGGGACTACAAAGAGTTTGGCTTTAAACTTTAACTTTATTGTTGTATAAGCATGTGTACATGATGTGGGTGCACACATGCATGGAGATCAGAGGACAGCTCTGTGGAGTCTGCTCTTTCTTCCACCTTTAAGTATGTTCTGGGCATTGATGTCAGGTCACTGGGATTGAACTCAAGTTGTCAGACTTGCCTGTTAAGCACATTTACTTCCTGAGCTGTCTTGACAGCCCAGGTGTGGCTGACAGAAGAGCCAAGCTGTGGTGATACTTTGCTTGTGCTCTAACAAATAAAGCTTGCCTGGATCGGAGTGCAGAGCTAGCCATTAGTTAACCATGGAGGCCAGGCACTGGTGGCACACGCCTTTAATCCCAGCACTTGGCATCTCATGCCTTTAATCCCAGCTCTAGGGAGGTGGAGACAGGAAGTGATATGGCTGGGCAGAGAGAGGCATATAAGGAGTGAGGAGACAGAGCTCAGCCCTTTTTCAGTTAGAGGATTCCTAGAGGTAGGAAGTCTCTCTAGTGACTGGATCCTTTGCTTCTCTGATCTTTCACATTTACCCCGATATCTGACTCCGGGTTTTTATTATTAGGACCAATTAGAATTTGAGCTACACCAGACCGAGGGTGACAGAGGAGCCAGGCGGAGGGTGACAGAGGAGCCAGGCGGAAGGTGACAGAGGAGCCAGGCGGAGGGTGACAGAGGAGCCAGGCGGAGGGTGACAGAGGAGCCAGGCAGAGGGGTTCGAACAGAACAGATCTGGTCAGACAGGATAACTTTGGTGAGCCCCACTGAGAAGTCAGGGTACAGCAGCAAGTGAGGAGTTTATTTCAATGATCCAGACATAAAGCAGGCACAGAGCAGGGTGGGGTAGGGGAGGAGTGATAAAGAACAGGGATTCTCAATAAAACTGCCAAGACACTTACTGAGGGACTGGGTACAGGCCATGAGAGCAAGAGAATTGACTTTGACCTGAGCCTCCAGAGGGGATTCTGGGGTACAACGCAAGAGCCTTTGGCACGGTCTATGTAAGTGACTTAGCAAATTAATGTACCCATTTTCCTGTAAGATACATTGATCAATGCCGAAGCCATCTGACCTATGTGGCCAAGAGAAGCCACTCCACAGTGCTCCTTCATTGTGATACGCCAATTCTTGTTCTCATCAAATGAATTATCTGGTACCAAGAGTACCAAGACTTCTTCTAAAAGCCGTGTTCTGATTTTCCTTTTAATAATTAAGCTGAAAGGCTCGGGAGACAGTTCAGGAGGTAAAAGCACAAGCATGAGGACCCAAGTTTGAAAACTCAGGCCTACTGCGCGTGTCTCTAACTTCAGCTGTGGGGATGAGACAGGCAGACCAGGAGAGCAACTCCCTAGCCAGCCACCCTAGCTAAAACGGCGACCTTCTGATCCAGCACCAAACTGTCTTAAAGCAATAAGAGGAGGGTGGCAGATAAAGACACCCAGTGTCCTGCCCTCTGTGTGTGTGTATGAGCACACATACCTGCACACCCATATGCATTCACCATACACAAAAAATACACAGAACACACAGACACACACACAAACACAGACACACACACACACACACACACACACAGAGTTCATGGATTAATTATAATGTAAAATAATGGAACATGAGTTTGAGAACAAAGAATCAAAGGCTTCTGTAGGTGTTGATAATGGTGACTCTTAAAAAAATACTGTTGAATATAAAACAGTTGTAGAAAAAAGAATAAAATGACAAAAATACAGAACAATTGTGCCTCAGGCTTCCTGCAAATATTTTAAACTTCTGCCTGCAAATGAATTTCAAAAGCAATGTCCCCAGACTCAAGTTCACAATCTCAAATTTCTTGTGTAAAATGACAGAATATTTGTATTTAACCTATTCAGCTTTCTCCTGTGTGTTTCAGTATCCAGATCACTTCTAATTCCTAAATTCAATGTAAATTCTATGTGTGTGTGTGTGTGTGTGTGTGTGTGTGTGTGTGTATATATATATATATATATATATATATATATATATATATATATATATATATATATATATATTTGTGTGTGTGTGTGTGTGTTTTAGGACAGGGTTTCTCTATGTAGCTTTGGAGCTTGTCCAGGAACTTGCTCTGTAGACCAGGCTGGTCTTAAACTGACAGAGATCTACCTGCCTCTGCCTCCTGAGTGCTGGGTTTAAAGGCATGTGCAACCATTGCCTGGCTATAATAGACATTATAACACATTGTTTGGAAAATATTGACATGAAAAATCCTTACATATTCAGTACAATTTAAACTAAAAAAAAAAGTTTTCTATCCAACATTGCTTGAACATGTGGCTACAAAAGCCACAGATGAAAGGTCAGTTGTATATAATAGATGTTTTCAAAAGTGTTTGTCTCTCTTTTCTCTTTGGGTCTTTTCTCCTTTAGTAACTGAGAAACTGCCTATTCAAATCTCTTTGAAGGTAGCTGTTTTCACTGTATGTTATTGACTACATACTCTTAAGATGTTCACACTAACACACTTGATTTTTAAAAGACATATTCAATGTCTTCACGCTAGTGCATATGGGAGCAAGGTTCCTGGTTTCGTTTCTGATGTATTTTTGTGAAGAATGAACTTATCTTCAAACCAACCTTTAAAATTAGTAACAAATATACAACTTGCAGAACTGCAGTCATTGACCACAGAGTAGACTTCTCAACACTACTCCATCACTAAAGGATGTTGCAGTAGACTTCTCAATGCTTTAACTCCACCACTAAAGGATCTGTCATAGGCAACTGAGTTCTAACACTGAGATTTACTTCCTGTTAAAGAAGCATCTGCCCCCATGTTTATCACAGCATTGGTTACAGCAGTCAGGATTATGGAATCATCATGAGAGCCCTTCACTGTTCCAGGTCCTGCAAGGCTGACTGGTTTGAGCTTTGCTATTATAGAGCTGGATTCTCACTGCAGTTGAAAAAACTCGAACTCAGAAGTGGAGAGAACGATGACTACTCAGGGCTGAGGCAGGAAGGAGTTGGAGGGATGTTGGTAAAAGGAAACAGAATTTCAGTTAGAAAGACTATTCAAGAGATCTTCTGTCCAACATGGTGACCATTAGTTAACAGCAGGGCATTTGCTGGAAGATTCCTAGCAATAGCTTGTAGGTCTCCTCACTACCAAAGGTGAGATATTAGTTCCATATAGTATGCATACTTCAAAGAATCATCAGTGTTCAACATAAATATACATAAGTGACTTGTCAATTCATTTCTTGAGTTTAAGAATAACGGAAGACACAAACAAGTTTGACCTCTTTCCAGTAACTCGTAAGGACACTATAGAAACAGCCATTAGTGCCCAGACAGTCCACTGAAGGTTTGTTCGATCCCTCCAGTTGACACCACCAGCGAGTGTTACACAGGCTGCGAAAGAGCACTGCACAAGTGCTGTACGCCCAGCTCTAAGAGTAGTCAGTACGGCAAAACAGAAGGTGGCATTGGTATTGTAACACGTAAAACAGAAGGTGGCATTGGTATTGTAACACGTAAAACAGAAGGTGGCATTGGTATTGTAACACGTAAAACAGAGAGCTTTTTGCCTCACTCCTTCTGCTTTACCTGTGGCCGGGGACCAGCTCTCACTTGCCTACCTACACACACACACACACACACACACACACACACACACACACACACTTATTGCATGCTTCCTCTTTCTCCAGTCTCTGTGTGTTTCTCCTTTTTGTTTCCTGATTTCTAATTCCCTCCCTGCCCCAGTGCCCAGCCTTTCTTCTTCTTCTTCTTCTTCTTCTTCTTCTTCTTCTTCTTCTTCTTCTTCTTCTTTTAATAAGAAATACAAACTACTAAAAGCATATGCAATGACTACATTATTCAAATTCGCAGTTCTAAATCTTCTGCCTCAGGCTAGAACCACAGATTTCTTTTTCAGGACAAGAAATAAAACCCAGCTCAAGCCTGGCTCACCTAGCAGCTGGGTATTTAGCCATCACTCCAACTGGACATTTTTGCTCCTCCCTTGGTACTTTATTGATGGTTTCCAAGCAACATTAACAACACAAACGTTCACTATAAGAATATCATATACGAACTTAGTTGTGACACGAAAGTCACTAATTTACTGAAATTAACATTATGAACACATAATGGGGAAAATGTTCCTCAAAAGGGGACGGTGAACATTAACCATCAACAGGACGAAACTATATTTGACAGATAGAGATTAACAAGAAGAGGTTCAGTTCGGTTCAAGGGCGAGCTGAGGTCAGAGTCCTACGTCTGCTGTGTCTTCAAAGGCCCGAGGTTTTGGATGAGGCAGTTCAGGAAGGAATCCAGCCGATGCCTGGACCTGTACGCGATCAGTCCTCCCTTGTTGGCCCAGAGGTCCACCCCGGAGGCGCCTCTGTTTTCCACGTGATACAGCAGCTGTGGCCAATCCAGCCCCGCTTGGGGACTTCTCGCCAAGCACTCCTTCATGTCTGCAATGCCCCCACCCATGGCCCTCAGAATGGCGTGAGCTGCACAGGAGTCCCACTTGTACGTGGTGTCCTCTGAGAAGATGTAAATGTCCACCAGGCCTTGGACTACACAGAGGCTCTTGTAGCCGGCCCCAGCGGCGGGGAAGACGCCGCCCCCGCACACCCGCGACAGTGCGGCTTTGACGGCCTCGTTTTCGCTGGTGCTGATGACCGCAGAACAGGGCCCGGAGGACTCTGTGTCTGCGTTTTCAGTCTGGGATTCACCGTCGTCCGCTTTCGAGGTGGCGAGCTGCAGGGAATGGATGTTGGTCCCCATGTAAGAAAGGCCCCAGTAGTACTGGCCCTTCCACCTGCCGGAAACAGTTTTCGTCGGTGAGAAGCAGGTTTGGAGTATGCACGCCGCTTTCAAATAGAGCGCAATGAAAAATGCCCCCAGAACAAAACGAGTTGTGACGCACGCTCCCGGGCCTATAAATGAACATCGAGCTACTAACGAGTTCTAAGTGACTGCCATACCCAGCTGGGGTAACACCGGAGTACTGGTGGGATTTCTAACCTCTGAAAATAATTGAGCCAAAGCTCACTCCTACTTCTGTCATTCAGAGTCTCGGAGGGAAAAATCTGCTTGTAAATCCCCCACAGGCCTCCTCTCACGGACCTGCTCCGGCTTCTCACACCAAGAAGATGGACTTGGGTTGTTATTTTTGGCAACAACAGTAGCAACAACTGCTTTTATCCACTTACCCTCCTGTAAGGCACTCTATTTACAGAGAGGCTAGGCTTAAAGAAAGCAAGTGACTTGCTAAGGTGGCCTGGATCCTTAAGTGGTGGAACCAGAAATTCACCCCTGAATCTGTTACCCACCCCCCACCACTCCCCCACCCCCACCCCCGAAGCTGGCCTCTGACTCCTCTTGTATCTCTGGCATGCTGGGCTTACAGGTCATTAATGACCTTTTAAAACAATACCAAAACATATTTGGTTTGAAGAAAAGTGGAGTAGAGGAAAATTCCAGAGGCTTAAACTTTTAACTCTTAGAAGATCAAAGGATTCTTATCTGAAGTAACCCAAAGATGAAGGAACACAGGCCGTCCTATGCAATGGAAGCTGCAAGTTATTTTCAATGAACAGGGGGCCACCTCTGCTCAGACTCTACTATGCCCAGGAGTCAGCTCCCCCAGCACAGAGGCCCCTGGCCACTCTCCAGGCTGTGATCAGGGGTCAATGGAAAGGCAGGGGGTGCGGGGTGGCAGGCAGGAAGGGCACCGGTACTGGCAGTATTCGGTGTCAATCATTCCACTGAATACTTTGCACATTTGGTTCTGTATTTCTTCTACCATTATACCTCTGGCAACACAGTGGTGGCATCTACCCTGTTCCAATGAATCAGAAGACAGCGCTGAACATTAATCTTTATGTGCGGTTTTTGAGTGGATTTTAGAAACAGGAATAGGATTGCAAAGCCATAATTTCTCCATGACGGTGTTAATTTCTTTTAAAGTATCACTGTGCACTTAAGCCCAAACAAAACTCTGCCAAATACAGGGCTGAAGAGGGAAAGCGCTTTAATTCAGCCCTGTGGACTCGCGGTGGGAACGCCCCACAGAATCCAGACGTGGGAATGCCAGGTAGAGTGACAATCCTAACAGGCAAGGCTGAGGCTGGACAATCGAAATGGAAAACACCCATCTTTTACCTTAGCGTCGTCAGGTTTTGAGACGCAAAAGGTTGGTTGATGACTCCCATCAGGGGCATGCCTGTCTGGATGTCATAGACGCCAATTAAAATGGTCACACACTGAAGTCCACTGGGGAAAACTCCTTGGTTGGACTTCACGTCGGCAGAACCTTTAATGTACTGATAGGTTGAATCTGAAAAATGAAGCAAATGTACAGGTACAGATTGTCTAGAAGATAATAGTGAATCTATTTAGAATTTTTTGTCCTTTGTAAGTTCTCCTTCTAATCTGGTAACCAATCAATTTTGCCTTTGGGCATTGCCTGCAATGAATCATTTGAACTCTCCTACATAATGTTTCTACATCAATCAGTGTATGAGAACTTTTAAGAAGTGTGTTGTCTTGAGACAGGATCTCTGTGTAGCACAGACAGGTCTCTAACTGGAGATCCTCCTGCCTCCGTCCTTGAAGGGCGAGGACACAGTCACAGTCCTGTGGAGTCTAGCACAGCACCTTGCAGATGATAAGGCCTCCACGGCAGCCAGGGCCGGGGAGATGCGTCAGCAGGGAAAGTACTTGCCTCAAGGGCATTAGGACTTGAGTTTGGATTCGCGGTGCCCATGGAAGATGTCAGGCAAAGCGGACCACACTTAAAAATCCCAGTGCAGAGGAGGCAGAGACGAGGATCCCTGGGGTCGCTGGACAGCCCGTCTAACAGAATCGGTGAACTTCGGGTTAGGTGGAAAAGGAATGAGAAAGGTACACTACATATGACTCTGGCCCCAATGTGCCACATGACCAGCAGCAGCACATACACACCCCCCTTAAAAACGCAGTTAAATGGCCAACAACTCCTGATAACTAGTGGGATGTGTCTTTAGAACTGTTACTAATCAGAGGACCGGAACAAGCTGAGATGGAAAAGCCTCCTTCTAGGAATCCGCCAGACGTGGAACGGTCTAGCATTGTTGTTATCATTTGCCTACCCGAGCTGCAAGAAGGAGAGAATGATGCTGACATAATGGGAAGAGGTTCACAGTGCTTGTGAGGGTTGGTCTTGGTTGTCAGCTTGAGCGGATCTGGGATCCACTAAGAGGAATGAGTCAGGGCGTGTCTGTGAAGGTGTTATCTGGAAGCGTTACCTGCGGGGGCACAATCCTCCCTCAGAGTGGGCAGTACCTTCCAGGAGCCCAGCTGTAGAGAGGTCTGAGGAAAAGCAGTGCTGACTTTGCCTTCCTGCTTTCCTCCTTGCTGGTGCAAGCATCTGCTCTCCAGCTGCTGCGAGCATCCTTCACTGACATAAGCACCTTTGTGTCTCTGGACTTCCCATATGGACCGAAGACCAGTGGTTTCCAGGGATTCCCCAGGCCTTCAGTGTCGACTGGGACTGTTGAGGCTTCCAGCACTGTAGACTGAGCAGCTACTGGCCTCAACAGTATGCGGCAGCCGCTGTTACACGGCCCAGTACCGTGAGTTAGCACGCGGTGAAGGACGTGTATGGCCAAGGACCCAGAGAGTCAGATTAACATCTATTCAGAGTGGAACTAAGACAGGAGACCACCATCCCTCAGAACTGTAACAAATGTCAATTTACCCTGACATGACCAGAGATCTGGGGGGAAATTCTTAGTGTTCATATACAATACACTGGCTGAATGCTACGTAGCTGTCTGATGTAAGGAAAACCACTGTGTACATGTTATGTGCCCGCAGACTAGGGGGGTGAGAAGGTTCTCTGGCTCAGTATAATGTGTGCCACCAGCTGGGTTAAGCAGAACTTACCCGGGAGATGGGAAAGTGGGGAGACTTTCGCCTGAGGACTTTGTATCGACAGGGCTGCAGGGGAAGGGGCTGCATTTTAAAAGCACGCACTGTAGTTACAATTCTACCCAAAAAGGACAAAAACTTGGTAAGCTTTATGTCAGCTTGCAAGTGGCCCAAGACACGTTCAGTTGCCTTGTTTGACCATGGTTTTGACTGTTGCCTCACCGAATGGGTAGCCAGTGATTCAAAGTTAGCAACTCTCCCTTAAAAACACAGGTTTGCATGAACCTGTTAGAGCTGAGCTCTAAGTGGTGTACATTATTGCCTTCTCACACTCTCACTGATTTACCAGTCACAAGTCATTTAAAGATCGGTTAGTTCACGCGCGCGCGCGCGGGCGCATGTGTGTGTGTGTGTGTGTGTGTGTGTGTGTGTGTGTGTGTATGCGCGCACATGAGCGCACGCCTCACAGCCATCTGTTCCTGCAGTCCCAGTGTATCTGATGACCTCTCTGGCCTCGATAAGCGCTGCACACACATTATGTATAGGTAGGTGTGCACCCATACACATAAAAGGAAAATAAAGGAAAATAATTAAAGACAATAACTCCTCTGGATACCATATGACTATTACACCCATAAACTCACAGCAGCAGTGGCTCCTGTATAAGACCTGCATGAAATCAAGGTAACCAGACTTCCGGCACAGACTGGGGCTCACTCATGAGGAGCTGCTGGAGGAGGGGTGCAGCTCTTTGGGTATGGGTGTAGGTTCCCATGCTCTAATTGGACACTAATTGGACTTTGTGAGTTTAAAAAGAAACAAACAAACAAAACCATGAAATTAGGAGAGTAACCCATTGAGGAGGTCTGGGAGGAATTGGGGGTATGATCATATTTCACTGTACACATGTATTCTCAAATAACAATAATAAATGTTCCAGGAACTCTAGACTACAGTTCTAATGGCTTCTATTTCTTGGAACTGGCCCAACCCCTCAAGAACACGTGAGTAAGAACAAAGCAGAAGGCACACACCGAGCAGTCCCACACTCACCAATGGGATCCACCCAAATTCCCAGAATGTCCTGTGGGACCTGGATCTCCAGGGACTCCAGAGTGGGGTCAGTTAAGTCCACATCCTGATGCACCACCTTAGCCAACGCTTCAGACGCCAGCATGTTGCCATCAAGGACTCTGCTGAGAAGCTCTGCTGTCTCCTCCTCTGTGGACCGTACTTCCACAGTGATCTTTTCCCCTAGAATAAAGACACATTGGAGCCACTGCTTCTGAGAGTTCAGGGGAGAGCAGACGACAGGAGGCAGAGGGGCAGGGAGGGGAACGGGCAGCTGAGCTGAGCTCTTAGGTCAGGTAGGGACAAGTATGTCCACAGCAGCGGTTCTGAAACCCCGCTGACCCCCAGGATCACCTGCAGCACTTTACAAAGCTGTGGATGTTAGGGGCTCCCAGTGGTTCCGTGCTCTTCCTCTCCCCAGAAAAATGTCTACGGGGCAAAGTTTTGTATTCAAGGAGCTGCACAGGAGTTGAAATCCTTCAGCCTTTAGTAATTATTCTGTTCCTTAGTTTTGCCTTTTGCCTTTTCATGTGCATAGTTTGCTCTGTCCGTGTTGGAATGTTACCGAAAAAGACGTAGGTTCTACCCACATACGGAAATGCTTCTACTTCCTCCTGTAATACTGCTTTTTTAACAAAAATAGTGTTTATGCTCAGTAGTATCAGGTGAAACACAGTAATCTTTGAGTGCAATAAAACTCAGCAGCTCAAAAATGACAGACACAAACTCTCCTCTGTGAGAGCTGTTGGAAGGCAGATGTGGACAAGCCAGCTCTCCAGCAGAAACAGAGTGAAGAGGCAGCTGGATTCCCATCTCTTGAAACATGCATCTTAAGCCCTTGGTCTGGCAGCCAGCCTCCAAGAGAAGAGAAAGGGGTAGGAAGGAGGCAGAGCTAGCTGGACATGGGAACACATACCTAAAACCCAGCACTTGGGAGGTGGATGCTGGAAAATTAGGACTTGAAGTCCAGCCTGGGCTATGCATCAAGTGGAAGGGCAGGGTAGGCCACATGAACCCCTGTCTCCACAACAGCAAAAGGCACTGCAGATAAACAGTAAAGAGTGACTCCTGAGATGAATATGGTGAGACATGTCTATAATCCCAACACTCAGGGGAAGGCTTGAGTTCAAGGCCAGCCTGGACTACCTAGTGAGACCTTTTTAAAGAAAAAAAAAAAGTATTGTGAGTTAATCATAATAGTTATTTTTAACTTTTGGAGGTTTAAATAAGATTTATGTCTTCTTTCTGGGAGGCATAGGAATGTATAAGAACTTTCATATACATAGAAATGTATATAAAAAGCCAGGGGGAATGGTTCATGCCTGTAGTCTCAGCTACTCTGGGAGTTGAGGTGAGAAGAGGATTTGAGCCAAGGGTCTGAGACCAGCCTGTGCAGCACAGCAAGACCCCACCTCACACAGAAAATAAATAAATAAATAAAAAACTTTGTATGAAATGAAACTTCGTACAATCCAACTCCCTTTACAGAGATTTTGTGATGGAATGCAGAGGGTACTGGAGCAACATCACGCATGATTTCAGGACTGAGGTATCTGATACACTCTTAGGGTCCAGGGTGTCCACAGACAGGTTTAAATCCCTGCCCAGACACTGTTTGCTCAACTGTGTAGACAGACATCTTTCTGGTGCATCAGTGACCACTTTAGGTTGCCAGAAGGCTAAAGAATTTTTCCAAAGGCTACGTAACAATTTTGAAAATGCTAGAGATTTAAATTTAGAAGCATGCATGAACTGCTAAATTATTCCAAGAAACCACTTCACCTCTCTCTAACTTAAATGTCATCATATTCTGAGGTAGAGACTAAATAAAGCTTCACATTTAAGCGTGTTATGCTGTTTATACCTAAAAGCTTCCCAGCATTCATTTATTTTATGTTCTGAGTTAGAAATTAGAATAATAGGATAATTAAGTTACAAAACACAGTAAGATTCTTATACTTACCCAAATCATTTGTGAACTCATTGGATTCTTCTCCAAAAACTTTCTTCCCCAAGCCTGGAAACTGAAAGAGTCAGAGTTTGAAAAACAAGGAAAGAAAGAAAGAAAGAAAGAAAGAAAGAAAGAAAGAAAGAAAGAAAGAAAGAAAGAAAGAAAAGAAAGAACAACCCGCAGCCCCACAATCAGTTCCAAGAGAGTTCAGTGAGTGTTAGATTCAAAACTCAAAAACTTTCATAGTAGGAGTCAGCCTGAGCATTGAAAATGAAGTCAGCTTGGTTCTGTGCTTAGCTGTCTCTTATTTTCCTTTTCTTTTGCCAGTCTAGAAAGCCTACTCCATGGCTTCCTTATGTCCTGTCAGCTTTCTGCTGGAGAGCCACAGGACTGGGAACATATGTTAATTCTGCTCCTAAACACTAGCCTGTGAAAGCTCTTGTTATTGGCTACGTTCCCTAAAATAATTTCATTTAAAGAAAATTTATTTACTTTTGTATTCTATGTCTATGGGTACTTTGTCTGCATATATATCTGCACACCAGAAGAGGGCATCAGATCCATCCTAGATGGTTGTGAGCTACCATATGGGTGCTTGAAATCCAACTCATGTCCTCTGAAGAACAGCGTCTCTTAACCACTGAGCCATCTCTACAGTTTCTAAAATAATTTTCTAAAGGTGGAAAAAGAACCTAGAAGGCAGTCTTAGATTTTATTTCCATGTTCAGGTACATCTCTGCACCTATCAGGTGTGTCAAAAAAAAGGGGGGAGGGAGAAAGAAAAGAAATGCTGTAGTGACCTATGACTTAAGCATGATACAGAGTGAACAGGGAATCATGTAGACTTTTCTCGAATCTCCATATCAGTGTTCAGATAAACACATTTGACTCCTGACCCTCAGAAGACTTTTTTTCTCAGAGACTCCTGTTGTTTTCAGGGAAGAAACTGCTTCCCATACTTGAACGTGCGCATTCCCAGATGCTCAAACCATCATCAAGGCCATACCACCTGCTGCTCTTTTTTCTCTTTTGTGAAACAGATGGGATCTACCATGGGTGGCAATCTGCCCGCTCACCAGCCCCACACCTGTTTACAGAGCTGTTTGGAGGAATGCAGACCGAGGGGGCCTGAAATAAAAATAAAGTAGCTCCAACGGAAAGTATTTGTTTCATAAATTCTGGCATTACTTCATGAATAATTGCCTGGGCTTGTTCTAGTGCTGGGGGGGGGGCACATATTAACCCGTAAAAGTAATGTTGATACATATCCAATCCAGTTGCTCAACCAGCCCTTGTATCCAACTATCTCCATAACAACAGAAAACAAGCCTCCTTCATTTAGTTTGCTGAAGCCAGGTAGTATAAGGGCATGAAGAAAATTTAGTCTGTGGAGATTTCATGTCATTTATTCACTCTCTTCTCATGCCTGTGGTCAAGATTCTACTTGATTCTAAAGTGGTCCTCAAATTTAAAAAAATGCATTGAAAATATTAAAGTATTTTTTTTATTTTCTGACATAAAGCTTCATCCTCCCAAATTAAGAAAAAAAAAAAGAGGGTGGTGGGGGACAAGGAATCATATGTAAAAGGCAACAGAATCCCTAAGGACACCAACTCGAGAACCATTTCCTATGTTCCAGAACTTGAGCTGTCATGCAGTGCTGTGCAATTTCAGGCAACTTACTCAAGCTCTCTGTGACACCGGAGTCACAGTGGAAAAATAGCTCTTACTGTGCAAAAACTGTTAGAGGGTTCCCAAGCTGGAATTCATGAAGCCGGGTGCACAGTAGGCACTCCCATGTGTCTGCGGGTAGTACTGCTCCCAGTTCAGAATGTTAGCTTTATCTCATCATCTCCACACTGAGAATCACAGCCACTGCGGGTCACCTTTTTATAGTAGAGTAAAGGGAGATCTTACTCAGTTCCCAGCCCATAACCACGGCAAACGTTAGATAAATGGTCAAGTGGATAAGCTGGGATCAGTGACTTAAAGCAAGTGAGACAGGCCACGGACACACAAAGAGACTGCAGCATTCCTCCGCAGCATGTAGATTCCCTTCAACACTGGGCATGGGAGGGACCTTCACTGTGCTCTGTCTCTGAGAACATGGATTATTTATTGACAAGAAACTCATCAATAAATAAAAGGGCCAATTCTAGGTACTCCTGTTAGAATTCTGAGTGCTCTTATTTTGTTTGTTTTTCTATGCTTCATTGATTTCCTGCAAAGACCATTTCCTTAATACTGTAATAAAAAATAAGGGAGGACCAAAAGATGTTTGTTTGAATCCAAGATATCCTGAGAACCAGTGCAAGGCCTGCTGTTTATTCTGAGGGGAACAGAGCTGCGGAGGCAAGCGTCTCACAGCCACCTTGGCCCTGACCTCTTACCTTGTTCTCCATGTTCTGTTTTATAACTTCCTGCACCAGCACATCCGCCAGGGTCTTGAAATCTGCAGCGAACTTCTTGTTCTTCTCTGAGCCTTTCTTCTCCTGGACGAGCAGCTGGAAGAGGGCCTCCTGCTGCCTGCAGGCCCGGGCGATGTTAGCAGCCTTCTCAGAGACACGGAGCAGCTCCCGCAGGATGTCTGACATCTCGGAAGCCTCACCCACCCTCTGGCTCTCAGCTGGAAAAGCACCAGAATGCGAAAGAGAAAGCAGTTCAGAGTGGAGCCAGGGCGCCGATCCCACTCACACCCGGCAGGCAGCAAGGTGTCAGCATGGCTGACCAGCTAGTGAAGACCACATTTTCAGCGTGTAAGACTGGAGTTACAATCTAAATATCGAAAATTATTTCTCAAATCTCATAAAACAATTACACTCTCAAAAAAAAAAAAAAACCCATTATCCAAAGAACTGAACTTTCAGCGGAAGAAAGAAAAAAAAAAATCTTTGAATAAGAATCTATATTCCAGAGCCCTATGAGACAGAAGTACCACAATGTCAAAGGAAAGCCAGATTCTTGCAATGTCCTCAGTCATAGCACAGCCTTATAGTGAGGATGAGAACAGCACTCTCTCTGTGAGAAGGGTGGGGGTGACGTTCACACTGCCACCTCCACATCCCACCTCCACATCCTAAGCGGCAGAGCAGCAAGCATTGTGTCCTGCAGGATTCTGGGGCCACTCTTTGGCTAGCAGCATAAAGCATCTCACAGGCAACTCTACTAAGAGCATTCCAGTGACGAGTGCCAGCCTCCACCAAGTAGCAGCCTACACAGCAACATGAGGGGAAACTTGAACCCTGCCAGGACTTGAGAAGTTCTGAACTCTAAGAACTATGTATACGCACCTCTCTCTCTCTCTCTCTCTCTCTCTCTCTCTCTCTCTCTCTCTCTCTCTCTCTCTCCTTTCCTTCCTTCCTTCCTTCCTTCCTTTCTTCCTTCCTTCCTTCCTTCCTTCCTTCCTTCCTTCCTTCCTTCCTTCCTTCCTTCCTTCCTCCCCTCCCTCCCTTCCTCCCTCTCTCCCTTTCTCTCTTTCTTTTTCTTTCTTTCTGTGTAGCCCTGGCTATCCTGAAACTCTGTAGACAAGGTTAGCCTTGAACTTAGAGATCCACCTGCCTCTGCTTCCCCACGCGCTGGGATTAAAGGCACTGCCACACCTAGCTGCTGATGTCTTTCTACTGGAAGCCCTGAAATGCTTCCACTTAGTGATGGTACTCCTGTCCAAAGTGTGGATCATTCTGCTCCCGTTCAGAGAGAACTACTGTGAGAATGATCTGCCCTGTGTTGTTAGTTCCAGAATGAAGCTTAGGGGGTTGAGTAACTTCTAAAGGGTTGCACAAGGCTAAAAGGTGGGGCTCAGAATTGCTCACACACAACACTAGGGTTCTTTATTGTCACAACAGTTTCCTCTAATAAAAGAAGCTTGAGGTTGAGAACTCACTCAGCCATGAAGAGGCTGGTGCAGGGGTGTGGCAAGCTGTTACGGCTAGTTTGTCTTAAGTTTGCTAAAAAAAAAAAAAAAAAAAAAAAAAAAAAAAAAAAAAAAAATTTTCTTATGGTCCATTGCCCGAGGAAACACTTCCTCAACAGAAATGAAGGGAAGGTGAGTAAAACAATGAGACATCCCGTCTCACTGCTTCCTTTACCCTCGGCGTCATCTCTGGAGGTCAGCAGTAGGACGGATGCCAACTCTGACAAGGGACCTGGAAATACACAGGTTTCCAAGGAGCTGCTGGCATGACTGTAACAAACCCCGACCCAGGGCCCTCTCTCATCAGTCACAGTAACAGCTCCAATCTTAGCTTAATCTGTAAGGAAAATCAGAATTCAAATATTTTCATACAAGGTAGACTAAAATTATTTAAAGTAGTAAAGACTTTTTTTTTTTTGAGGCAGGTTCTCACGTTGTCCGGGCCACCTCACGCTTGCTGTGTAGCTGAGGATGACCTGGAATGCTTGGTGCTCCAGCCTCCGCTTTGTGACTAGGATATTGCAGATATGTACCAGTTTCTAGTCCAGTTTCTATTGCCACAACTAAAAAAACTTGGAGAGAAAGGGGTTTATTTGGATTTCACTTCCTGGTCATAATCCAGCCTGAGGAAATTCAGGGCAGTAAATGAAGCAGGAGCTATAGATGACAGCCTGTTCCCTGGCTTCTGCTCAGCTAGCTGCTAGGTCAGCCTGCGTAAAGACAGTGTCATCCACAACAGGTTGGGCCGTGTATCAGTGAGCAATTTAGAAAATGCACCACAGACATGCCCACAGTCCAGTCTGATGGAGGCAATTATTCTTCAGTTCAGGTTCCCTCATCCTAGATATGTCAAATTGACAAGAAAAATTAACCAGGGCCACCACATCTGGCCTAAAGATAATCTTGTATATGAATTTATGTATGTTGGGGAGGTTTCCTGTGTACGTGGGTATGTATGTACATGGGTGTGCATGAAGGTGCATGTGTATGTAAGTTCATGTACACATGGGTGTGCATGCATGTGTACATCAGGGGTTGATATCTAGTGTCTTTCTTAAACACTTCCCCACTTTTTACTTGAGACAGGGTATCTCATTTGATTGATTAGACTGGCTGGCTGGCCAGCAAGCCCCAGGGATTGATCTGCCTGTTTTTGCTTCCAGGTGCTGCCGTCAGGAGGCATGTGGTACTGTGTTTTACATGAGGGCTGGGAGCAAACTCAAGTCTTCATGCTTATGAACTGTATTGACTGAGCCATCTCAACATCCCTACCCCCAAAACCTTAAACATTGGTAAAATGTAAGAATCCTGTGTGGCCTGTAAATTCTGTTTTTGAGGAATGATTAATGAAGAAAAACATGCTGTAATATTAAGTACCGAATGACCTACGACCATATCTATATCTATATATATCATTATGTTATCAATTTGTGTAGGGGGGACTAATAGGTGATGTTTTCAAGGTAGTCAATTTTTAGTTTAATGATGGATGACTTAATTAGACTTTTCCATAATCAGATATTCTACAGTAAATATGTAGTACATACAATTTATTTTATACATCATCATTCTATAAGAAATGACATTATTTAGTGTTTTGTGTGTTGGGGGTATGTGACTGGGGACTGAACCTTGGGTCTTGCACCTTCTAGCCAATGTTTTACACTGAGATATCTCACTAGCCCTTTGATACTGGAGACACAGGTCTTGCTAACCTGCCCATGCTGGCCTTCAACTGGATATGGAGTCCATGCTGACCTTGAACTTCTGACCTTCTCACCTCAGACTCCCAGGCATCTGGGATTACAAGCCCAGCTAATGAATGACATTTAAAAAAAAACAAAACTAAACTAAAAATGAATCTCTAAGAATTCTTGGGCTCCTTGATGGAATGGTCCAAGCAAAATGTGCCTATGGTAATAACAAACTTTCCAGATCAACAGGATAATACAGTTAGAACCCAAGCAACCACCGCTTCTTAGATACCTGCATTTCCAGACTCAATCCTGTTAGAAGGCTCACTTTACTTTGATGTGGATGTATACACCAATAAAAGCAGCATTCACATAGCAAACTCACTTGAACTCGAATAATTCATGGCATCTATTATATAAATACTCGCCACAAATGATGTTATAAAACAATACATATAGAGAGATGCATACATATCCTCACTATAACTCATGAGCCACAGAAGTATAAATTCAGGGACCACAACTTTTATTAGCAACTTGTTCTACATTATTGTAAGAGCGAAGAGTCAATGAACCAACAGTATCTAAGGTCCTTCTTATTTAGAAGCAGCATGGAGATGTAAAGTTCACTTTGAACTTGAGCAAGATACACATCAATTGCTTATCACATTCAATGGCTTTAAAATCACTGTTTATTCTCCCCCCCCCCATATTTTTAATCTGAAAAGAAAACACTATACCAGTTACCCTGTTTGGTAAGCTTCTGCACCGTTACCTCTGGGAACCCGGAGTTCCTCCCTCCTAGTCCTGGCTTATTCTAGTAATGGTCATTGTCCCATTACTAGACAAATGTTACTCAGCAAGTGCAGGACCTTGGCCAAGAGGAGAGAGCGTTCAGCTGTGAAGAGTGGGCTGTGACGCACAGGGGTATGAGCTCGAGAAATTCACAGTACCACATCTGGGTTTCCAGGTCCTGAGTCACCCTACAGCAACCTTAACCTCCTTTCTTCTGGCCCAAGACACCACTTGTCCCATTTTGTCAGGCTCCAGATGATTCTGGGTTTCTTGCCCAGTTTCAGTTGAGACTTTCCCCAGCCAGTCTAACCAAGAGAGCACTTCTCAGCTCATTCCCTTTCTCTGCAGTCCCAGGAATCTAGAAAGCCACCTTCTACAGCATGCACACAAAACTTCCTAAATCTCCTGCAGTGTGGCAAGCTTGTAGTCCTTTTTTTTTTGGGAGACAGGGGCAGTTAAGCCCAGGGGTTTGAGGCCATCTGGGACAACATAGAAAGCCCTTTGTCTCGATGAACAACTTTATAATTAGCTGGCTGACCTCCTACTTTCTGGTGGGAAATCTCATTTCTTCCCCCAGCCTCTGTAAGCTCCCCCCTTATCTCTGCCTTTTTATCTTGAGCTCATTCATGCAGGTAAGAGAATTGCCTAGGGCACTTCACCCTTACCTGGAATACTTGAGACAAGTTGTATATGGAAAGAATCAGGGGTAACACCAGCACACAATTTCTTCAGTTTTCTATGGAAATTATCTTTCAAATCACTTAAAAAGGCTAACTGAATTTATACAGCCATTATTTGACTTACTCACTTAATATGGCCCTCTTTCGGGCCGGTTGGCACCTGACGGTGGGAATTTTAGTGGAACCCTGTAGGGAAGATGATTCATGCACAGGGTTAGGTGAAGTCTATCGTAGGTAGTGGTTGTTTTGATTTTTAGAGGTGCATGCGTACAAGCATGCATTATTAGAAAGTAAAGCCCTGGGCAGGCCAGGTAAGTATTCTAACACTAAGCTACATCCCTGGTCCTTGGATCTTGAGTAAGCCTAGCCTTAAACTCAGTTTGAGTCACATGTCATTTTCCCTTTTACTCTCAGAAAAGTCCCTTTCTCATAAGCTAGTGAGGAAAGCTAGTGCTCTTACTCACTGTAAAGTGCTTTACGAGGTTCTCATTCATGGTCCAGTGACGTCCCTCTTAACCAACTGCATGATATTGGTGATGCAGGC